CGCACTTGAACCTTCCTATATATATATATATATATATATATATATATATATATATCGGCATACACCATTAGGTATGCATAAATGCACCATACAGTTGTGCATTGATGTGTGAGTGATCCGATGGTGACATTCGCGGTGCATTGTAGACACCATGCACTGCCGTGTAGGTGTGCATTTCTGGGTTTGGGATAACCAAATTCAAAATACACGTGTTTTCCGGGTGCTAAGCGTGATTCATTTTCCTCATGATCAATAACCCATTACTAATTATACCCACGAATTATACTCACGACTTAGTCTTTGAAAGCAAACCAAATGCATTAAACAGAATGCATTGCACTGAATTGGACAAGATACCAACAGATGGAACCATAATTGGAAAACCCTAAGCCCTAAGAACAGGAATACACCATTGGTTATTATACCTAGAGAACGAATTGCTGTTACATAAAAACACCCACAGAAAGCATGAATAATTGACTAATCTCAAATCTAACAACCTTATTAAATACGCAATGTTATTAAGCTATAAACTTAAGCATTAATCAGGTTAATAGACTACACACGTTGCATAGTATGCAGACTATCGAGAATGGTTTAGCAATTCAAGAAGAAAAGGGAAGGAAACTGAAATGGTTCTTGATGTATTCTTGCTCTCAAGCTCTATGTTCTTAGAGACTTTACAGATTGGTCAAAAACAAGTTACAAAGAAGAAGATAGAAGAGGGAATGGGGAAAAGAATTTAAACTCTACAACTGAACTAACAAAAGCTATTACAGAGTTAGTTAGGGAGGTTGGATGATCTGGACTAAGTTGTGGATGAGTCAGCTCGTTGACTTGAGGATTGACCGCTATTTGTTGACAACCCCCCGCACGCTGGAGTGTACAAGCAATGTAGACTCAGCTTGGAGATGAAGTTTGAGAAGGTAGCAGCAGCAAGAGGTTTTGTAAACACATCAGCTAGTTGATTTGCAGTGGTGACATGCATCAGCTTCAATATTTTCTTTTGTAGTTTTTCCCTCACCAAATGGCAATCTATTTCGATATGCTTCGTTCTCTCGTGGAATACTGGGTTCTCAGCTATGGCAATTGCAAATTTGCTGTCACAATATAGTGTGGCTGGGGAATCAAACTCCACTTCAAGATCTTGCAGCAGGTAAATAAGCCATTGTATCTCACAGGCTGCTGCTGCAAGTGCCCAATACTCAGCTTCAGATGAACTTCTAGAAATGGTTTGTTGTTTCTTTGACTTCCATGATATCAAGGTAGTGTCCAGAAACATACAATAGCCAGTAACAGATCTCCTAGTGTCCAGGCATGCAGCCCAATCAGAATCACTAAATCCTTTAATCTACAAGGATGAAGATGTTGAGAAGAAGAGCCCCTGGCCTGGGGCTGCCTTTGATATATCTTAAGACCCTGTGTGCTGCCTGCATATGTACATCAGTAGGACAGTCTAGGAATTGAGATAGCTGTTGTGTAACATAGCTTATATCTAGTCTTGTAATTGTAAGATACAATAGCTTTCCCACAAGCCTTCTATATTGAGTAATGTCTTCAATTTTCTTCCCAGTTGTCTTACTGAGTTTTGTTCCTGTTGCCATGGGTGTTTTGGCTGGTTTACAGTTTAGAAAACCAGTATCTTCAAACAATTCTAGTGTGTATTTCCTTTGTGTGACAGATATGCCTTTACTGCTTCTTGCTACTTCTAGCCCCAAAAAGTACTTTAGAGGACCTAAGTCCTTAATGTGAAAAACAGCATCCAAATGACTCTTAATTTGTTCCACCTGATTTAAGTTTGGGCTGGCAATTACCACATCATCAACATATACAAGTAAAGCCACAAAATCATTACCTTTGCCCTTTGTGAACAAAGAAGAGTCTGACACTGCTTGCTTGAAGCCCATGCTTAATAATTCTTGGGTAAGTTTGAGATTCCATTGTCTACTAGCTTGTTTCAGTCCATAGAGAGACTTGATTAGCTTTCATACTTGACCAGGCTTGGCAGAAGTGAAACCAGGAGGCAATGTCATATATACTTCTTCATTGAGTTCTCCATGAAGGAAGGCATTGTTCACATCTAGCTGGTGGAGTGTCCACCCTTTAATTGCAGCCACCCCAAGTAATACTCTGATTGTGGTTATCTTAGCCACAGGGCTAAATGTGTCTAGGTAGTCTAGGCCAGGTGTTTGAGTGTAACCTTTGGCCACTAACCTAGCCTTGTGCCTCCCAATGGTCCCATCAGCCTTAAGCTTGGTCTTGAATACCCACTTGCAACCTATAGGAACTTTAGAAGATGGGAGATCAGTTAGAGCCCATGTATTATTGGCTTGTAGGGCAGTGATTTCTGCTTCCATGGCTTTCCTCGAACATTCTTTCTTGATGGCTTCATTATATGTTCTTGGTTCTTTGGCATCCAATATATTGACAGCAAAGGCCTTGTATGCCTGTGACAGATTGTCATAAGATAAAAATTTGGAGATGTCATGTGGAGATGTTCTCTTAATTATACTCTGACAAGTATAATCATTAAGATAGGAGGGTTTGGCTCTTACTCTTGTTGATCTCCTTGGTTCTGGGGTTGGTGTTGACTCTGTACTGCCAGGTTCATTGCCCTGGACTGGAATTGTTGGTGGAATCTCAGGTAACTCATATGAGCTAGGTGAAGCCTCAAAAGCATCAGCAGGTAGACTAGTGTCTTCATCAGAGTTGAAATGTGCCACACCCTCAGAGGGTAGAATCAAGTTAGGGGACTGCCCATCTTGTGAACTCTGAAAAGGGAATATATTTTCATAAAAAGAAACATCCCTAGATAGGAAGACTTCTTTGGTCTGAGTATCTAGCAGTTTGTAGCCCTTCACACCATTAGTGAATCCCAAGAAAATACTTCTCCTAGCCCTTGGAGAGAACTTGTCTCTTTGACAATTAGGAATAGTAGCAAAAGCTAGACATCCAAACACTCTAAGGTGTTGATATTGTGGTATTTTATCAAATAGTATCTGGTATGGAATCTGATTAGCCAAGGCTGCAGATGGAAGCCTGTTTATCAAGTATACTGCATGAAGGATGCAGTCACCCCAGAATTCGTCAGGTAAATTGGCCTGAAATCTCAAGGCTCTTGCTACAGACAAGATGTGCCCATGTTTCCTTTCCACAATACTGTTCTGCTGAGGGGTATAGACACATGATGTTTGATGAATAATTCCCTTTTTCTGGTAGAATTCCTCCATTAAGAACTCCTTTCCATTATCAGACCTCACACACTTAATATTCTTCCCAAACTGAGTACTGATAAGTTCATAGAAGCACTGCATAATCTGTCTTACTTTATTCTTCTTTCTCATGAGATACACCCAAGTAGCTCTACTGTGGTCATCTACCAAAGTTAGAAAATATTGATGTCCATAGATAGTTGGAACATGGTATGGTCCCCATATATCAGCATGAATCATATCAAAACAGTGATTTGAAATAGAAGAACTAGGTTGGAAAGGTAATCTTCTTTGCTTAGCCAAATGGCAACTTTCACAAACAGTAGGCTTATCATTACAAATTTTGTTGTCTATTATTTGTAGAAACTTTATTTTTCCTTCAGAAGCATGCCCTGACCTAGCATGCCAGAAGTTACAAGTATTAACTACAGGCAAGACAGCAGGTTTACATTGAGAAAAAACAGGAAAAACAAGGTGGTAGAATCCCTTCTCCAGCTTAGCCATACCAATCATCTTCCCATGGTGTTGATCCTGTATAATACACTGATTAGTATGGAAGAGTGTGCTACAACTGGATCCCCTCATCAGTTCTCCCAAGGAGATCAGATTATAATGGAATATTGGGACACATAATACATTCTGCAAGACCAAATCAGAAGATAAGTGTACAGTCCCAATGTGTGAGACTTCTGCCTGATGTCCATTTGGTAGATCCACATAAATCCCTTGTACTTTCTTGGAAATATGCAGTAAATGTATGCTACATACAATGTGGTGTGTAGCACCACTATCAATGATCCACAATGATTCAGATTTAGTTAAACTGATGTGGGTATTACCTTCATGTTGGGCATTTGGAATGAAGTTGGCTGCTATGGTATTGACCTGTGGAGCATGATCAAGAGAGGTATTGAGCCTGGCTCTCTCTTGTTGTTGCATAAACTCCAAAAACCTTCTACAGTCCTCTTGAGTAAATGAGGAGTTAGTTTCTGAACTTCTAGTTTCTTGCACAGAACCCTGGACTTGATTAGCTGATCCAAAGCCTTTGTTTCTTGGCTTCCAACCTGGGGGATAACCATTCTTCTTGTAACACTTGTCAATAGTATGTCCTGTATAACCACAATAACTGCATACAGGTTTCTACTTCTGATTAGAGAAGGTTCTTCTGTTGTTATTATCTGCCTTTGTAAAAAAGATGTTTGCCCCTGTAATACTATCTTCCAGAGTACTAGATTCAATACACACTTGCCTCTCTTGCTGTGAAATCATGGAGAAGGCTTCACTAACATCTGGGAGGGGTTTCATCAGCATGATCTGATGCTTGGTGTTAATGTAGCTATCATTCAAGCCAGTTAGGAAAGCAGATAACATATCATTCTCAAGATGTGTCTTCACTTTTTCAGATAATTTGTTTCCACACTCACATCCAGTGGAACACTCACAGCTAGGGATGGGTCTCAAAACAAGAAGTTCATCCCACAACAACCTCAATTGTGTAAAATACTCATTTATGGTGGAGTTACCTAGCTTTGTATGGTAGATTTGTGACTGAATTTCAGCAACTCTGAACACATCCTGTTTACTGAAGCGCTTTTTCATATCCTTATATACACCTTCAGCAGTATTGATCCAAAGGACACTCCGAGCTATAGTAGGTGAGACAGCCCTAAGTATCCACGAAAGGACCATTGTGTTGCAGCGCTCCAAGTAATAATACCTTGGATCGAGCTTGCTCGGAACAGCTACAAGCCCTTTCACAAGACTCATCTTGTTTTTGGACATTAGTGCCATCTCCATGGCTCTTGACCAAGAATGGTAGTTGGACCTTCCTTCCAACTGCACTGTCACGAGCTGTAGGGTTGGGCTCTCATTCGGATGAAGGTGGAGAGGATTCGTCATATCATTCGAATCGAAGTTTCCGATCAGAGTCGCAGCGGGAACTGGGATGGGATTTGGGTGATTTTGGTTTGCACCAAATGAACCAGCTTGGTTCTGGTTTCCTCCTGCTTGATTTGAAGCTGCTTGCAAGACCATGTTCGCAATTGGTGGACGCCACGCCATTGGGGCTTTGATACCATGTCGAGAATGGTGCAGCAATTCAAGAAGAAAAGGGAAGGAAACTGAAAGGGTTCTTGATGTATTCTTGCTCTCAAGCTCTCTGTTCTTAGAGACTTTACAGATTGGTCAAAAACAAGTTACAAAGAAGAAGATAGAAGCGGGAATGGGGAAAAGAATTTAAACTCTATAACTGAACTAACAGAAGCTATTACAGAGTTAGTTAGGGAGGTTGGATGATCTGGATTAAGTTGTGGATGAGTCAGCTTGTTGACTTGAGGATTGACCGCTATCTGTTGACACAGACTTAATTTTTTTCTTCAGTTGGAATTGAACCCCCGGATTGCTTCTGGTGCATGCAGATACGAGTGCACACACACAACCTACAGGTTAATACTTCCAGCATGGGTGCACTAGTGCTACACATTCTGTTAAGAAGCCACATTCTGAACAAGCTGCGTATTTAAAGAAAATATAATGCTAATGAATAACCCATCACTAATTATACTCACGACTTAAACTTTGAAAGCAAACCAAGTGCATTATACTCAATCTGAAAGCATAAAAACAGATGGGACCACAATTGGAAAACCCTGGGCCCTTAGAACATGAGTAAACCATTACTAATTATACTCGGGGAATTGAAGAATTGATAAAGATGGGAATGACTGAAACCAGGGAAATCAAATTAAACATAATAACCACTCAAAGGGAATGAATTACTGATACACAAAAACTACCATAGAGCAAAATAAGAATACCCAAAAACTAAAGAACAGTACTGTAATCCGAACACCCACATGCAGAACGCAATGATAATTGACTAACCTCCAATGTAACACTGTTATTAAATACGCAGTGTGATTAAGCTTCAAACTTAAGCATTAATCAGGTTACCAAGCACTGCAATTAAATTCTAAAGAATTGCAGATAAAGCCGAATTGGAAAACAACTCTAATCAAACAAATATTACGCAATGTAATCTAACTACGTTGCCCCGATTTCGAAAATAGCAGATAAAAACATAGAAACCAAATGGAAATGCACAAACCTCGCATGCCCCACCGGTGCGCAATCCAATGCCGTGCAGATACCCTAGTCGCAATCCCTGGGACATCCCGCTCGAACCTGACTCGATCGGCCGCCGTCGGAGACTGACGCCCACCGCGGCGTCTGAACGCTCGAGACGCATCCGCGACCCTGTGCAACGAAGCCGACGGCGAGAACGAATGCTGTGACCTACCTCTCCTAGAACGACGGGGCTTCCACCAGAGCGAGCTATCAACTTATCGCACCTACCCCCCAGCAAGAATGCCGCAACCACATAGCTGCTAGAACTGTGTCGCCCACGGGTTGAACACACACACACAACCCCCCCCCCCCCCCCCCCCACCCAAATGCGCAGTACTAAATGGTGAATGTGGCGGGATGCACCCAATGCGTGTGCACGCTCATTCGCACCCATAGATCAGCGTAATCGCACGGTCACCATTAGTGCACACATGCACAGAATAGTAAAAGTTCACACCTGAGCTTTTACCTATATATATATATATATATATATATATATATAGGGTTGAGTTCACATGAGTACCACAATATACAGAGGACGGGCACACGATAAATTAGTATCAGACACACAACTTAATACACAATGGCACACAAGAATACATGTAAACATCAGAGTAGTTCCAGGTTGTTCTCCTCAGCTGCAGTGCACGTGAACTGACCTACATCACCCAAGGATAATTTAGCGCCGTTGTCTGGTCATTGATTCATGTTTTCCCAAGATGGCTACCCACAATGGCACACTCCCTTCAGAATTTGCAGGTGTTGAAAGACGAAAAAAATGGTTTAAATTGCAGAATAAACACATTTTAAGCGGTTAAGAGTCTCACATTGAAAATATAAGAAATATCATATATAGGTTTATAAAGCTATGGCTTAATTAAGACGGTAATTGTTTGGATTTAGTCTTTTAGTGGTGGTTTTGGCCCATGTGCATTATAGCTCTTGGTGGCGTCGAAGCAAGCTTTTGCCTCTTAGATTATAAGATAAGCAAAGAAAGTTAAAATGTATACCTCTGCTGTTGGGATCAGCTCCAAAGTCCAGAAGAAGAAGAACACAGTTTTGATATCCTTTTGATGCTGCTATATGCTGATATGGGCGAAACGAAAAGGCAAAAAAAGATCGAAAAGCAGAAAATGAGAAGAAACAAACAATGTGTTTCAAAGAAAAGCAATTCACAGATCGAGTTGAGCTAGCACAAGAGCTGTTCTCCCGTTGTTGTCGGATTCATTTGGATCGAGGCCACGTTTCAACAAGTGATGCAATAGCAGATTGTCTCCTCTGAGCGTCGCGAAGCAGAGGTCCATTCTTCCGCGGGCTAACATGTTCTCTGTCTCTAAGAGAACTACTTCCATAATTGGATCCCTCATGTCCTTCAGATGCTGCTCAGATCAAGAGCAAATGAAACAGCTTACAACATAGAATCATTTGGTTTTAAGATTGTATCAAACAAAAACAAATGGACTGCAAACTTTAGACCTGAAGCAGATTGTTCATGATTATGGTTCCATTGCCAACATTACCTTAGCCTACAATTACATTAAGTAATGAACCTATAATTGACTAATATAATTTACAAGCTAGAAACAATAGATTCACTGGTGGGCAGACACTATTAAGTGACTAATCAATTAACATGAACACATATAATTTTTTAAATTAGTATATTTAAAAATAAATATTTATTATAAATTTTTTTGTGCAATTAAAAAAGACCTCTACCCTATGTATACACTGGTGGGCAGACAATAATTCATTATTAACTAAACTAACATAATAATAATAATAATAATAATAATAATAATAATAATAATAATAATAATAATAATAATAATAATAATAATAATAATAATAATAATAATAACTAAAATCCTAAACAAATTTAATTATTAAAATAAATAAAAGAATATATAAAATTAACCAAAATTGTGAACGAATTATAAAAAGAATTCGTATAAATTAACAATAAAAATAATACTTCTTCTGATGATTTCTCTAACTCTTCTGTTTTTTTTTTTTTTTTATGCCGTGATTCATCATAGCAATTGGATCGATAACGGAAAACGGAACCAAAAATATATATGAAACCAGGTGATAAAAAGAAATATTAAACAAATTTTGCAAATAAAATAAACAAAAGAAGAAAAAAGAAACAGATGGAACATACTCACAAATCCTTGCCGTCAACAAAATGGAGTAATGCGAGGTACAACAAATTCGTTGTGCGGCCTCCTCTCTTCTTCATACATCTTGGCAGAAGTGTCAACAAAAATAATGCGAGGTGCAAAATATTTGTTGCGCCTCATCTCTTCTTGATACATCTCGGCAGAAGTGGCAACAGAAGGATGACATTGCTCCAACTTAATTGTCCAAAACCGTAGGTACTTATTTACACTTATAGGAGGGATCTCTTCTAGAGAATAACAACGTTTTAAGAATATCTCCCGAAGCATTGGGAAATGATTATTTGTATTGGCCACCCATCGCTCCAGACTTCTGGATTCAATCTCCAACACTTCTAATATTGGGAATTCTCCTTCAACCAATTCCCACACTCTGCCATAGAAAGCATTCTCTAGTTTCAGTACCTTCAGCTTCGGTAACTGTCCAATTACCGTTAAAACCTTCACTGGAAAATTAGTCCCACTCAACCTCAACTTCTCCAAATTTGCAGGAAAACCAAGCCGCTGTAAAAGGGTTATACTACCAACTGGAACCGTAACCGTTAGAATCTCCAACATCAATAAATCCGCAAAATTCTCCAGAATGATGATAGGATTTCTGCAACATCGCCCACCGCTACAACCCGGCACTAAGACATCTTTATACACAACTTTCAGTTTTCTTATGTTTGGAAACTTGCAATAATACACTTCTTTTTTCCTGAAATGAATTGGCATTGTACAAACTAATGTTTGCAAATGCTCTTTAACCATGTTTGGAGGATCTATCATATACATATCCCCAAGTTTGAGATGCCTTAAATGTTGCGACTCCCAAATTTTGGATGGCAATACATGAAGAGTACGTGCTCCAAGTGTTGATTCTTCAATGCCAGGAACAGTAAGTGTTTGCAAATTTGAATTACTTGATACTACATCATCAAAACTCTCAAACCACTGTGGTATGGAAAGATATCTTAAAAAAACTAAATTCCTTAAGGACAATAATGGCATTCTTTTGAGTATTACAGGTTTACTCAAATCTAAAATTCTTAAATGTTTGAAAGATATAAACCTTTCAAAATTTTCCTGAAAGACGAAAAGGGAGCGAGGGATATTTGAACTAAACAACACATGATAGTCCAAACTATGTGAGCGTAAACTTAACCAGCGACATGAATTTACAAGTATGTCTAATGACCATCCAATACACTGTTGTGTATTTGCTGCACATAAAAGACCTTCTTTTTGAGCTTCTCGTACGCAAAAGCTATGCAAGTCAATATGTATGGAACAAGTCTTGGTCTTTGTTCTGAAATGGTCCTTTCCAACGACTGTTCTGACTAGTTCTCTACTTATAAAATCCATTAAATACATGTAACCTATATCTTCTAATGGCAGACAACTCACTGGCTTCACAAATCCCTCAGCAATCCACAACTTAATAAGTCTTTTCACATTGATTTCACGGTGTTTTGGAAAGACCGCAAAATATAAAAAACAAACTTTTAAATGTTGTGGCAAACGATTGTAAATGTTGGTAAGCTTACTTGAGTGCTGTGTATGTCTATGCAGAATTCCCAATGACAGTAATTCTTTCTGGATCTTCTTCCATTCCTTCAATGTGTAGTTGCATTTCGATAGACGGTCTGCAACTGTAACAATTGAGCGCGGCAATCCTCAACAAGATGCCTCGCAATTTCTTCAAATTTAGGTGTCATCTGCTCTTTAGGAGAAAATCTGTTGGAAAATAAAAACCAACTGTGAAGACCATCTAGGTAAGGCAGGATGTTGATGGAATCTCTATCTCTGCTGATGTACTCAGCCACATCCGTGAAAGGAGTGGTTAGCAATATCAGACTTCGATTTGAATCATCGGGAAAACATTGGTGGATATCATCCCAAAGCAGAGTGTTAGGGACATCATCCAAAACAATGAAATATCTCTTGCATTTCAAGTGTTTGTGCAGTTGGTTTTTTAGTTGAGAAACAGTGCTTCCCTGCAGCATGTCAATTTCTTGATTGAGGAGGGTTGGCCTCATTGATTGAAGAAGGTGGCACAGTAGTTGTTGCACATCCCCATTGTATCTTGGCGGAATAGTAATCCAAGCGTGAATGTCGAAATGTGGTACAACCTTGTCTGTATACATCATTTTACAAAAAGTAGTCTTTCCAATGCCTGGGACTCCAACAATTGTGATTACACTTCGTTCTGGAGATAAGATATCATCAAGAAGCTTCGCTTTCAATGTCAAGTAATAGCTACGAATACCCGGTACTACATACTCCTTAAACAGTGGAGAGCATTGCAAGGTTACACCCGACGACGATACAATAATGTTGTGAGGGTGAGAAGCTGCAGCTTCTGACCAACCAATCAACGGAGGAGAAACATCTTGATTGTTGATAACCTTCAACAACTCTTCTGCCTCCTTTGCCACTTCTTGCAAGCTTTGATGGAGATGGAGATGGAGATGGAGTTCCCCTTGATGAGCTTTTTGTTGAAGTTGAAGGATGTTACTGAGTTGTATTTCGATGGCATCTTCAGCTTTGAGTGAAAAGTCTCTGATTTTGTTTAGCAGATGTCGTTGGATTGGAACACCACCCACAGCGTTGTTGTATTCCTTCTCCAGAAAGGCTTCCAATGAAGAAAGCTTCTGAAGCAGAGATTTCAAAGGCTTTTCATCATGATGAAGAAGAGACACTCTGTGGTTGGGATGCAAAAATTCAAGCTCAATGGTAGCCATCAGAGAAGTCAATGCAACACAAGCCATCTCTCAAACTCTCTGCAACTTCAATTCTGGGTTTTTGAGTAAGAAAAGAATGAAGAAGAAGAATTGCTTTTAAGTCTGATAGATCTGGTTGTTTTAGAGTATATAGAAGTGCGCGCAATAGCTAATTAATGTAAAGTCAATGCAACACAAGCAGCCATCTCTCACTCTTGCACATGTTTTATGCCTTAACTATACCCATCAATTATATATTTTAATATAAAGTGGAGACAGTACACTAATTAGAAGCACATGCACATGGACTTGCACTGCACGATATGTACAATAATGTTCAATAAACAAAAATGTTTAATATGATACAAAAATGTTCAATAATAGGTACATCACATGCGGTACAGAATACAAAAATGGTCAATAAACAAAAATTGAAGGACGTCAAATTATATATATTCCTGAATTTCATTGATTTTGGTGAAACTATCAATTTTGGTGAAATTAGTGACCAATTTTTGAAGTCGTCACCTGTCGTCACTATATCCTCCGTCACTATTGTAGTAGTGACAACTTTTGAAAAGTTGTCACAATTACTCACTACTTTTGTCACAATAAATGTATAATTTGAGACCAAATATGTTATTGCAAAAAATTAATCTAGTGACAACTAAAATCGTTGCAATTAATTATTTTATTGTGACAACACTTTAGTCACGATAGTTGTACTTATTTGTGAGAATTATTTTTGAAGCCCTTGATTGCTTGCTAAGTGAGCAAAAATTTGCTTGATTTTAACAGCTTGTTTCTCTAAAGCTGCTTGTGCGATTTCTTTAAATTTTGCAACTTCTTCTTCTAAATTCTTTTCACACTTCTTTGAAGCTTCTGTTTCTGCTTGAAGAAGAATTTTCTCCTAAACTTTTGAAGTTATTCTCTGAAAACCTAACCACGTGCATAACTTGACTTTCTTTTTAATACCAAATCAAAATGCTCAACAAGTGGTAGAAGTGCAGCTGAAATCTTTTCTTTATTCTTGTCTCCCTCTTCTTAAAGTTTATTCTGCAATTAAGATAAATATCAATAATTTAATAAATTAATTTAAGAAATGTCACAACAGGAAATATATATACTTTTTTTTTATATATATGTAAAATACGGTAGTTATATATATATATATATATATATATATATATATATATATATATATATATATATATGTTTGTGTGTGTATATATATATATATAGACACACACACACACGTATGTCATTCAATAATAATAAAATAAATTTTTTTATATACAAAATACATGCAAAAGTATATATATGTGTAAGTACAGAACATATAATAAATCAAACATTACATTCATTTTTTTTTTTAGCATAATACATGTTCAATGCTAAAAATTTATATATTTCAACTATTATGAATATAATTTATCTAGATATGATTCATACAACAAAACCAACCAACCAAAATCTCATATTTATGCATTTTTTACTAATACACATCATACCAAAATTTTTAGATAACGCTTGGTCATTTCATAAAATAATTCATTTGATTCATAACTTTCAACCAATCAAAAATTCATTTAAAAAAAAAAAAAAAAAACAACAAAGATGGGCAAAGTAAGATAAAGGATAACCACTTACTTGGAACAAATTCTTCTCAAATCTTTTTAATCTTTTAATCCTCTAAGTTCTCCTCCTTAGACCTGTGTCGATTGTTTCAACTCTTGAGGAGAATAGGAGAAGAATTTTTTTTTTTTTTTTTAAATTTCGAAAATGAAGAGATGTGAAGAAGAGATGAATTTTTTTATTTTCTTTTGCTAGTAGAATCAGCTAAGGTAGGAAAACAGAAGGAAGAGAATATCTATATTGATCATCATCCAACCCTAATCAACTTAGTAATTAATGGAAAGAATAATTTTAGTAAATTACTTAAAGATTTCTATCCTATAAAAGCATAATATATATATATATATATATATATATATATATATATATATATATATATATATATGTACTTAAATATTCGAAATATAGTATATACATATATATATATATATATATATATATATATATATATATATATATATATATACTAGTTTTTTACGCGCATTGCGCGATTGAGATAATGCTCAGTGTTTTTTTTTTTAAATAAGTACTTTAAAGTTAATATATCAATGCAAGATTATATTGGAATTGTTCATGCATAGATAATTGAATGTTAAATTTGCGTATTTAAATAGGCAATTCTAAATTTACAAATGCAAGATAATATAGTACGTCAAGATTGATTATAATTGTCAATAAAACAATTATATATGTATGGTTGAAACCAAATACGGGACATAAGCGAGAACAAATAAAAATTAGGGCATAAAATATTAAATATATACTAATATTGAAGAGTTAACTGCTGATTGTCAAACAAAGACATTGCGAGTTAATTTTTCACTTCAATTTGTTGTGTGATTTGAATACTCTCTTTGTCAACAAATCGCTCAAGTAGTTAATATGATTGACTTTAGTAATTATAATTTTTTAATTTTTTCATGGTATTTAATAAAATACTTGGTAAATAAATATATAGCATTATTTTGTATTATAACATTGCTATTTAATTAAAAAATAGTGGACAAAAAAGATAATAGACAATGTAGTGAATATAATTAATTGATGAATTTGAATGTAAAGAATTTTTACATTGGAGAAATATAAAGACAATATAACTAATAAAATTATTTCTCTTAATTAATTTATTGATAATGAATATTTTTTTTTTTAAATAAAGACATTGTAGGAACAATGTAGAGAATATAATCAATTGATTAATTTGAATGTAAAGAATTTTTATATTGGAGAAAAATAAAGACAATATAACTAATGAAATTATTTCTCTTATTTAATTTATTGAATAAAGACATTGTAGACATATAATTCTAAATTAAAGAAATAAATATGTATTATTTTTTGTTGTAGCTACTAAATTATTATTTAATTTAATAAGAGTAAAATAGAGTACTAATTATGCCAACAACTAATATTAAAATAATTATTTTGTATTTCAAAATATTACCCACATACTTATAATTAAACATTATAATTATACATACTTTATTCTGTATTTATTTATAACAATAATAATAGAATAAGGATAATGTGATATTAATTTTTTTAAAGGCTTGATTAGAAAAGAAATGAATGATCAATCAGAAAAAGAAGAATTTAGAAGGGCTAAAAAAAATCGGGTATCACATTTACCATTCAAAGTTCTAATTTGGAAGATATATAATAATGATGTTATGGTATTGCATAGGCCTCATTTGGATGCTGCAACTGTTGAAGTAAACTCATAAAATGTTCATACCATGAGTATCGAATAAGATGAAATTTATAGTGATGGAGATGCTTTTATTAATGATGATGATGATGAGATTCCAATGGTGATGATGATGATTGAGTACTATATGAATTTGTATTTATAACTTTTGAATTCTTTACTTTTTATATTTTGAGTTTGAAGTTTTCAAATATATATATATATATATATATATATTGAGTTTGAATGGTTAATTTTAATAAATCTGAAATATATTGTTGGTACTAAACATATACATGTTTATTTAAAAAAAAAATTGATATGAAAAATTAGTAAAATAAGTAATAGTGAACTTATCTGCCACATAGGAACGTTCAAAATGAGTGATTATAAAATGTATTTTCACAATTACATTTATTTCACACAATATCTAACTATTTAACTATAGTGACGAAGTCATTCTAACAATTAATTACTCATCACAATTATAATAAATTAGTGACTAAAAAAGAAATCAACACAATAATTGTCACAATTTAGTAATTTTTGTTACGCAATTATAGAGCGTCACAAATATTTGTAACAATTTCATCACAAAATATGACAATATTAGTGACAATAATATTTCTTCTCACAATTGTTTCTCATTTCTAATGCTACAAATTAATTGTATTTTTATTCACAAAAAAACGTTGTCACGAATATTATCAACAATAGTGACCAACAACTATTTGTCACAAAAAGTACAAAAATTTGTGTCAACATTATTTTTTGTCACAATTACATTCGTTCCCGCCATAATTATAATGCCACCAAAATAAACATACATTTAGTGACAACACATGTTACGACACTCTTATTCTATTAATAGTGACAATTTATTCGTAACAAATACTTACTCGTCACAATTACCATATTATCTGTGACAAAAAAAAAGTTATCACAATTACACCATATAATAGTGTCGAATTATTTATTTGATCACAAAAAGGATATTATTTGTGACTAAATTATGAAGTGTCACAAAAGATTTGCCACTAAATGTCTTTATTGTTGTTTTAGAAAACGACAATAACCACCAAAAAAAAAAATTGCAAAAACGTCAAAGGTGAAAAAAAATACCTCGACTGATATCCCGAGCAAGTGGTCCCCGCTGCTTGGCTCTACTGCAGTCCCCACCGACGACCATTGTTCGCGAACGATGACGAGGGAGAATGGAGACCGCACGAAGCGAAGAATCAAATGGCGTCGCCACAGAAACCTCAAGCAACGCGCGATGAATGGAGAGAGACAACTACGGACAAACCACAATTAATCCGGGCGCATGCTGTGTTAATTTCGGATCTGACTAGATAACAAACTAGTAAAATCACAAAATTACCCCTATGCCAATAATAAGAACTAGGGATGGCAATTTCAATCCAACCCGTGGATATCCACCCGAATCCACCCCGCATGGATCAATTTCTTTTGGGTGATGGTGGGTAGTGGGTCGGGGTGGGTCTTAAAAAAGAAAACCCGTAGTGGGTCGGGTTGGATTCGGGTTCTATGTACAAGACCCGCCTAGAACCCCACCCGACCCACCATGTGTGTGTGTATATATATATAATAGTAAAATAAGTACTAGTATGTAGTTATTTATAATAGTTTATATAACTTCGTGTATCGTTTTACTATTTTTTATATCAAAACTACTAAGTTTATTTTTAAAAATTAACAATTTAGTTATTATATTTAAATATTTCCATTATTTATGTTTTAGTATCACTAATGGAATTTATTTTTTTATTATGTGTAAATAATTTAAATATTATTTTTTGAAAAAGATAATAAAATGATAAGTGGTGGGTATCCGTAGTGGACACCCGCACCCGGTGGGGGTGGGAGTGGGTTCTGAAAAAGTCCACCCGATGCGGGTTGGAGGTGGGGGTGGGTGGAGAAAATATAAGGTGGGTCGGGTGATGGATGTAGCCCTCCCCGACCCACACCCGACCCATTGCCATCTCTAATAAGAACTGCCCAAGGAATCTAAATAGACACAAATCAACAAATCAATCCTACACGTCCAAACCCAACATGCAACGGTCTAAAGTAGTCCACACATTTTTATTTTAAGGGGTGTTTTTACCTGAATGTATATATATATATATATATATATATATATATATATATATATATATATATATATATATATATATATATATATATATATATATATATATATATATATATATAGGGAAGGGATCAGGTGCATTTGTTGCTTCCCGTGCGGATGTGCGGTGGATTAATGTGCGTGAGGTTTATACTTAATGGGCGTGAGATTTGTACTCAATGTGCCTGAGATTTGTACTTAATGTGCGTCATGTTAATATGCGTGAGTTTTGTACTTAATGTGCCTGAGTATTGTGTTTAATGTGCCTGAGATTTGCGCTTAATGTGCGTGCGTATTTCGGAATTACGAGCTCAGAAGGAAGCAGAACAGAAACTCATGCACATTAACGCCCAAGCTTCTTGTTACTTCTTCCTTCAATTTGGCCATGGATTCTGGATTATCAGCTACCTTGAGTGCAGTTGAATGTTTATATAAATGATGCACGCACAGTAAAATTTGCAAAACACCTAAGTGTGGATTTCTGTTGTATTATGCCCATAATTTTTAACCACCATAGCTCGCCTCCGCATCATCATCATCAGGGAGGGGGCAAATGGCTACTGGGGATGGGGAAGAAACTGACATCAATATTTTCTGCTGCATTTTACACATTCACGCACATTAAGTACAAATCTCAGGCACATTAGGCACAACACTCACGCACATTGAGTACAAATCTCACACACATTAATCCACCGCACATCCGCACGGGAACCTTTCACTATATATATATATATATATATATATATATATATATATATATATATATATATATATATAGTACTGTCAAAATGGACCGAAGCCCGCGGGTTGGCCCGCACCCGCCTCGCGGTGGGGCGGATTTGGGTCATGAAAAAATAAGCCCGTGAAAATGCGGGCCTAACGAGGCGGGCCAAAATTAACCCGCAACCCGCGCGGGCTGCGGGCCGACCCGCGGGCTAAACCTATTACAAAATAAAAAAAAATAATAAATAAATATACGTTACACAGCAAGGCAGAATTCTGCCTTGCTGTGTAACATTATATATATATATATATATATATATATATATATATATATATATATATATATATATATATGAGATTAATATTTTAAAATATTAATTTTAAAATTTTTTAAACACTAAAAAAAAGTTTGTGAGCCAGCCAGCGGTTTTAACATGTTTATCAGTTTATGTACTATTTATTTTTATTATTTTTTAATTTAAGTGATGACCCGCGGGCCAGCCCGCAAAGCCCGCAAGTCCGCATGGGGCGGGCTTGGGCTGTGTAGTTTCAAAACCGCGGGTTTCGCGGGCCGGCCCGCAAAAGCCCGCCAAATAAAAAGTCCGCATTGGGGTGGGCTGGCCCGCATTGACACCCCTATATATATATATATATACCCTTAGGTGTGAAAATGCGGTGACCTGCACTATACGGCACAATAATGTGCACTGGAAGAAGGGAAAATGTGCACTGGAAGGCAAAATTATGCAATGTAAGCTCCAAAAATATGCAACAACTATTGAAAATATTAAATTTAATACATGATCTTCAATATAATTTATAGAAGATCACAATATTCAACTAAAAATAATAATTAGTGATTCATTGGAGATTAATTCTCTTTATATATATATATATATATATATATATATATATATATATATATATATATATATATATATATATATATATATATATATAGATGTGTATTCAAATGAGGACAAGTATATTATAGAGGACTGTGAGGACAGATGTAGTGTGTGCCATTAGCCGGTATGTTGTGTGCATGGCCGAATGTAGTCGTGTGCCACAGTTTGTATGTCGCGTGCTAGATTTGTTAATTTATAGAGCCTAGGTTCGAAACCTGATGTTTACATTTATTCTTGTGTGCCATTATGTATTAAGTTGTCTGCCTGGTACTAATTTGTTGTGTGCCCATTATTTGTCCTCACAGTCCTCTATATATTGTTGTCCTCATTTGAACTCAACCCTATATATATATATATATATATATATATATATATATATATATATATATATATATATATATATATATATATATATATATATATATCTACTATACTAATAAGAGCCCAAGAGAGTTAGGCCTATAATGGGTAGAAAAAATGGCGGTCACAGATTTTAATCAAATGAATGGCTCAGATTGATTAAAAGATTGATAAGATTTAAATTTTACACTAAAATTTCCTAAAATACCCACACACCGTTACTAATTCCGTTAAAATTTTAAGAATTGCCGTTAGTTCACCGTTAACTTACTCATTGATTTTAATAAAAAAAAAAAAAAAGGTCTTAGGTACGAACCTCATCCCAATCAAAGTTGGCATAATTAGTACTCTATTTTACTCTTATTAAATTATATAAATAATAATTTAGTAGCTACAACAAAAAATTATAGATATGCATTTCTTTAATTTAGAATTATGTGTCCACAATGTCTTTATTCAAAAAAAATTATTCATTATCAGTAAATTAAATAAGAGAAATAATTGCATTCAAAAAAAAAAAAAAAAAAAAAGAGAAATAATTGTATTAGTTATATTGTCTTTATTTTTCTACAATATAAAAATTCTTTATATTCAAATTTATTAATTGATTATATTCGCTACATTGTCCTTACAATGTCTTAATTCAGTAAAAAAAAAAAATTATTCATTATCAATAAATTAATTAAGAGAAATATTTTCATGGACTTGGGCGCACTTCATCATTTTCTGGGTGTTGAATTAATAAGTGTGGAGTCCGGATTGTTTCTCTCTCAAAGCCAATATCTTTCAGATATTCTTTCACGGTTTAATATGGATGGTGCTAAGCCGGTTTCAACACCTATGAGTAAGGATGTTGTGTTACCCACAGCTGGCTCTGTTGAAGTTTTGGATGTCACTCAGTTTAGGAAGCTCGTTGGCTTGTTGCAGTACTTGTCCATCACGTGTCCGGACATTGCGTATGCAGTTAACCGTCTATCTCAATTTATGCATGCCCCTGGTGCAGTTCACTGGCAGGCTGCGAAGCATTTGCTGCGATATTTGAAGGGTACCTGTCATTATGGATTGGTGTTACGTCGCTCTACAGGTCTTCAGTTAACCGCTTTTGTTGATTCTGTTGGGGTGGTGTGTCCGATGGGGGTCGTTCTACTACAGCGTATGTTATATATTGCGGTCCAAATATCATCTCGTGGAAGTCTACTCGTCAGAAAACAGTCTCCCATTCTTCCACGGAGGCTGAATACAGGGCGCTGGCTAATGGTGCGGCAGAGTTGTATTGGGTTTGTAATTTACTGACTGAGTTGGGCATTCCACAGCCTCGGCCTCTTACTCTGTTCTGTGATAATATAGGAGCCACTTATGTTTGTCGGAACCCGGTGTTTCATTCTAAGATGAAACATCTTGCTTTGGATTATTTTTTTGTGCGTGAAAAGGTGGCTGATGGTTCTTTGTATGTTTGTCATACTCCTTCAAAGTCACAAATTGCAGATGCTCTTACCAAACCATTGGGTCGTGCCATGTTTCTTCCTTTCCGGTCCAAGCTGGGTGTCTCCAATGGATCCACCATCTTGCAGTGGCGTATTAAAGACTAATTATAATTAGTATTATTTATCTGATGTTGTCCTACTCTTTCTCTATTTTGTTAGTCTTAGACTGAGCATGCAATCTGTTGTAACTTCCCTTAGGATCCTGGTGTATAGCTCTATATATTATGTTGTATTATTCTCTTTCAATAATACATTCTCATTCAAACCTTCATACGCCGCACGCCTCCCAAAACGACGTCGTTTTGGGGTCGTTTTGGGAGGCGCGGTAGGAAGTTGCTGGGATTATGTGTATTTGTTCACACAGTTATGTGTATTGGTTCATACAGTTATATACATTTTTTATACAATTATGTACATTCTTTTTATACAATTATGTACATCCGAATCAGAAAATTTGTATGTATTATGTTAATAGTTGATGTGTATTATGTTAAAAGTTTATGTTTATTATGTATTATGTTAGATTATGTGTATTATCTTTTAAAAAGAGTATGTATATTTTGTTATATAATTATGTACATTCATGTATACAATTATGTGTATTCTAGTATAACATTATGTACATTCTTGAACAACGGGTTTTTTTTTAAAGAAAAAACTACTGCCATTCACTGGGGCGGGAAATTTCAAAAAAAAAAAATTAAAACGACGTCGTTTGCATCTGGGCGCATAGTGCAACGCGCGCCGTGGTGTAGGATATAAATTGCCCTTCTTTTAAGGGGAAGTACTATGTTTTCATCTCCGAGACGCGCGAGACCTTAAAAGTACATCGAAAAGTAGTTGATTGTGAACATCAAGATTCATAAAAGTGACGAATAACAGGATAATCTCATAACTGAACTTACCAGCTGGAACAGTAAATCACTCGATATTCCCCGAAAAAGATGGACCTTGTCGACCATGAAATTGAAGAGAAAGTGCGATATATATGCTTGACCTGATGGCTTTGGGAAGAGAATGGAGAGTCTCTTGCTGCTGGAACCCCTCGGAGTCTGTCCTGAACTTCAAACATTTTGTTAACATCAGCAGCTTATACAAGAAACTTCCATATATCTTTAAAAAGTTCTATTTTAAATATTTTACAAGCTAGAGATTAAACAAGAAGTTCAATCTAATCATCCCAAACAATACCAGTAAATAACTCTTAAGACTATACAATAGCATGAGGCCTTCTCCAAAACTCATAGCAAGCTAAGGGAGCTTCTCTTTTACCCAATAACTCAAACACTTGGTGTGAAGTCCAAATGACAGAAACCAATCAAAAAACAATACATTTTTTAACTTAATATTAAATATTATATCTGATCTGTGTAAATATTATATTATGTTTGAATTAACTTAATTTACCAAAAAAACCTTTATTTATCAGAAACATTACATTTTTTAACAATTATAGTAAAAAATGTATTGTTTTAAAAAAAAAATAAAATTTACAAACTTTTTCAAGGGTTGCAACAAGGGGAGAAGTGTAAACAAAAATGAACCATTGACACTCTCTTAGTTAATATGAGGAAAGTTAATTTGCCCCAGCAAATAGAAGACAATGACTTAAAAGTTCAAATATATATAACCAAAAAAGTGGAAAATTCTAGATTGAATATGATAGCCTCATACATCATATATATCCTTCTTCTTCTGACTCTTCCTTATCTGTATACTCTTCCATCTTCTTCTTCCTCTTCCTGATACTGCCATTCATTATATTCTTCTTATTCTTCCTGCTGATATTATTATGGAGTACATTTTTTAGTCCCTTCATATTTGCAAACCAACCAAACAAATATCATTAAAAAAATCATCCAAAATACATTAATAAATAAACGAAAGAATGAAAGAGAAAAGGAACATACTCAAATTAAAAATTATTGCGGTCAACAATAACGTAAGGTACACAATAGCTGTTGTGCTGCCTCCTCTCTGATTGATACCTCTTGGCAGAAGTGACGACAGAAGGAGGACATTGCTCCAACTTAATTGCCAAAAACATTTTATCCATTGCACCTAGTGGAGGGATCTCTTCTAGAGAATAACAACCTTTTAATAATATCGTCCCGAGCTTTGGGAAAGGATTACTAGTATTGGCCACCCATTGCTCAAGACTTCTGGATTCAACCTCCAACTTTTCTAATTCAGGGAATCCTCCTTCAACCACTTCCCACACTCTGCCATAGAAAGCATTCTCTAGTTTCAGCACCTTAAGCTTCGGTAATTGCCCAATTACTGTTAAAACCTTCATTGGAAAATTAGTCCCACTTAACTTCAACTTCTCCAATTTTGAAAGAAAACCAACCCGCTCTAAAAGGGCTATACTACCAACTGGAACCATAACTGTTAGAGTCTCCAACCTCAATAAATCCTCAAAATTCGCCAGAATGATGATAGGATTTCTGCAACATCGCTTATCGCTGCAACCAGGCACTAAGACGTCTTTATACACAACTTTCAGTTTTCTTATGCTTGGAAATCTACAATAATACACTTCTTTTTGCCTGAAATGAATTGGCATTGCACAAACTAATGTTTGCAAATGCTCTTTAACCATGTTTGGAAGATCTATCATATACATATCCCCAAGTATGAGATGCCTAAAATGTTGCAGCTCCCAAATTTTGGATGACAATAAATGAAGAGTACATGCTCCAAATGTTGATTCATCAATGCCAGAAACAGTAAGTGTTTGCAAATTTGAGTTACTTGATACTACATCATCACAACTCTCAAACCACTTAGCTATGGAAAGATATCTTAAAAAAACTAAATTCCTTAAGGGCAATAATGGAACTCTTTTGAATGTTAGAGATTCACTCAAATCTAAAATTCTTAAATGTTTGAAAGGTATAAACCTTTCAAAATGTTGTCTCTGAAAGACGAAAAAAGAGCGAGGGATATTTGAACTAAACAACACATGATAGTCCAAAGTATGTGAGCGTAAACTTAACCAGCGACATGAATTTGCGAGTATGTCTAATGACCATCCAATACACTGTTGAGTATTTGCTGCACATAAAAGACCTTCTTTTTGAGCTTCTCGTACGCAAAAGCTATGCATGTCAACATGTATCTCACAAGTCTTTGGTTTGAAATCGTGCTCACCCTCTGTTATGACTAGTCCTCTAATTCTAAGAACCCTTAAATACATGTAACCTATATCTTCTAATGGCATGCATCTCAGTGGCTTCACAAATCCCTCAGCAATCCATAACTTAATAAGTCTTTCCACATTGATTTTACTGTGTTATGGGAAGACCACAAAATATAAAAAACAAACTTTTAAATGTTGTGGCAACCGATTGTAAATGTCAGTAAGCTTACTTGAGTGCTGTGTATCTCTATGTAGAATTCCAAGTGACAGTAATTCTTTCTCGATCTTCTTCCATTCCTTCAATGTATAGTTGCATTTAGATAGACGGTCTGCAATTGTAACAATTGAGCGCGGCAATCCTCTGCATTCCTCAACAAGATGCTTCGCAATTTCTTCAAATTTAGGTGTCATATGTTGTTTAAGAGAAAGTCTGTTGGAAAATAGATTCCAACTCTCATTGTCACTTAGGTAAGGCATCCTACTGATTTCCCAATAGTTGCAGATGTACTCAGCCACATCAGTGAAAAGGGTGGTTAGAAATATCCGACTTCCATTTGAGTCATCCGGAAAACATTGGTGGATATCATCCCAAAGCAGTGTGTTAGGGACATCATCCAAAATAATTAAATAGGGAAAATGGCACTTTTTCCCCCTGTGTTATATACTTATAGCACTTTTTCCCCCTATATTATTTAAGTGGCAATTTTCTCCTCTGATATATTAAATGGACATATTTACCCTTAAAATAAATATTTCCTTTATTTTACTTCTCCAACAAATTATAACCACAATTTGAAAAAATAAAATACATTAATTGTTGAATTTAGAATACTTTAAAAATAAAAAAATAAAATTTTAAAATAATGTTTGAACCAACAGTTCAAATTGGATCCGAAATTGTGAAACAACGATTCAAAATAAAAACCAAATCGCGATTATATATACTTATATGTGGGAGTCAATATAAATGCGAAAAAAACATACACTATTTGCAAATATTATAATTCTAATTTTAAGCTATTGCTAGTAGTTGTTCCGATTTGAACCTCTGGTTCACGGTTCAGAATCTATTTTTTTCCACTTCACAATTTTAATAAACGGAAACCCAAATATTGGGTTATGTTATGAATCATAACCGATTTTTTTTTTATTTGATTGCTATAGTGTTCGGTTCAGTTCGAACCGAACCGTGGCCATCCCTACGTATAAACAATAATTTGTTGAACAAGAGAAATAAATAAAATATGTATTTAAGGGTAAAAATGTCTATTTAATATTATCAGGGGGAAAAACCGCCACTTTTATAATAATTGAGGGGGCAAATGTGGATGCATGAATAACTCAGGGGGAAAAAGTGCTATAAGCATATAACATAGGGGGAAAAAGTGTCATTTTCCCAATTAAATATCTTTTGCATTTCAAGTGTCTGTGCAGTTGCTCTTTTAGTTGAGAAATAGTGCTTCGCTGCAGCATGTCAATTTCTTCATTAAAGGGGGGTTGGCCTCATTGATTGAAGAAGAAGGTGGCACAGTAGTTGTTGTACATTCCCGTTGTATCTTTGCGGAATAGTAATCCAAGCTCTAATGTCGAAATCTGATACAACCTCTTTGTCTGTATACAGTTGTTTACAAAAAGTAGTCTTTCCAATGCCTGGGGCTCCAACAATTGTGAATACACTTCGTTCTGGAGATAACCTACGAAGGAAAATATATAGATAGGGATACATTATTATATCCTCCTCCTCCTCAAATTGTGGAGAGCATTGCAAGGATCCACCCGACGACGCTGCAGCTTCTGGCCAACCAATGAACGGAAGAGAATGATGGTTGGCCGCTTCAACTTCATTGTTGATAACCTTCACCAACTCTTCTGCCTCCTTTGCTACTTCTTGCAAGCTTCGATGGAGATGGAAATGGAGTTCCCATTCATCATCAGGTTTCTTTTGAAGGATGTTTGTGAGTTGTATTTCGATGACATCTTCAGCTTTGAGTGCAAACACTACTACAAAAAACGGTTTAAACCTCGGTTAAAATAACCCATTTAACGTCGGTTATCTTTCGACGTCGTCTTAAGAGACGTCGTAAGTAAATGATACGACGTCGGTTGAACAACCGACGTCGTATGTAATATACCGCTTCGGCTTTTACCTAAAAGCCGAAGCCGTATATATATATATATATATTTTAATAATTTACATACGACGTCGGTTTTTAGGTAAACGTCGAAGCCGTATATATTTATTATTTTTAAAAAATAAAAAATAATTAGCCTACGGCGTAGGTTTTTAGGTAAAAACCGACGCCGTATATATATATATATATATATATATATATATATATATATATATATATATATATATATATATATATATATATATATTTTTTTAAAAAATAATAAATATATACGGCTTCGGCTTTTACCTAAAAGCCGAAGCCGTATATATTTATTATTTTTTTTAAAAATAATAATTAACCTACGGCGTCGGTTTTTAGGTAAAAATCGACGCCGTATGTTCTTATTTTTTTTTTTTATTTATATGCGTTTTATGTTTTCTACCCCACCTGTATCAATTTTCAAACCCTGCGCAGCTAACAATTTAACATTCAACATTCAACATCAACTAATTTATTAAACTAATTCAAGCTACTAAACATAAAACTAATATAAGTACCACAATTCAACAAAACTACTAAACATTAAGCCAATAAACATAAACTAATTTTAAACGTAAAGTATCAAACTATTAAACTCATAACTAATATAAAGAACACAATTCATTAAGCTAATTCAAGCTACTAAACATAAAACTAATATAAGTACCACAATTCAACAAAACTACTAAACATTAAGCCAATAAACATAAACTAATTTTAAACGTAAAGTATCAAACTATTAAACATGAAACTAATATAAAGAACACAATTCATTAAGCTAATTCAAGCTACTAAACATAAAACTAATATAAGTACCACAATTCAACAAAACTACTAAACATTAAGCCAATAAACATAAACTAATTTTAAACGTAAAGTATCAACTAAGAAGCGTTTTATTAACCCATTCATCAATAAGAAGCTTAGACCATTTGTCTCTAACTTCATCAATCTCTTTTTTGTTGTAGGGCAATCTTCCTTGTCTTTCCAAAGCCTACAAAGTTCAAAAGAAATAAAATTAATAAATAAGCAAGTATTTTTAAACATTTGAAGCCAAAAGATATATTAAGAAATTACTTGCCTTATCCATTCATTTGCTTAGATTGTTGGAAACAATTTCCAACATGAACTTCATCACATAATAACCACATTCGGTGGTTCCCTTTTGTATAGCACACTACATTGAATTACAATAAAAATAAAATAAATTAATAAAAAAAACAATAAGTTTGCATATTTTACAAAGTGAATGAAGTACTTACCGAACATATAGTCCATTTTGGTGAACGATTTTGTTTCTTTCCACTCATCATGTTTGTTGCAGTCATACACCTATTAATATAAGACATAGAATATATATAAATACTTGGCATCACTAGTTTAATGATAACCAGGGCCGTTCCAATAAAAATGGAGGTCCTGTGCGATATTTTAAATTGGGCCCATTTTTCAAGTAATTTGTATATATATAAAATATTTGTTCAAAAAGTTGTGTCAAAAACTCAAAATATAAATATTGTATAAAAACTACATCTAAAATTTCATGTAATCTCGGTCACGCTTCTCTCAATTTGACAAATATTTTGATTAAAATGCTGACGAAAATTTTCTAGAGAATTTATCTTTAGGACCTTTATTTATTGATAAATCTCTTTTAGGACCATTTTTCACAAGAATATCTATTAATTTAGAATCAAGAGCTTCCCAATTTCTTGTATCATATATGTCAAATAAAAGCAAATCATTTGGTTTATTGTGACGAACATCATCTAAACAACTATCAACATTCTTATTATTGTCATTGTCACAGTGATACCTATCATCGTTGTGCACACTACCATTTAAATTTTTTCTAATCTCACAATCATCTTGATCTTCCATATGAAGATTATCATCTAACAATTTTTCCTTGGTATCATTTTTCTGCACATCTATTTGAGTTTCTTTTATAATGAATTTTTTGAAGAGCTCCATTTTGAGATTGAGTTATTTGCTCAATTCTTCTTTTCTTTTTACACTTCTCAAACCCAGATGAATATATTTTAGAAGACATAATTATAAAATCCTAAGGAAAAAATAAGAATTTATTTAGAAATTAAACTCTATGAATAAATAAATAATTAATCAAGAAACAAATTCTTGAATATATTATTCTGTAATCAGAATTTTTATGTCATGTAAATAAAATAATAAACAAGAATTGTGAAATATTTAGTAATTTTAATTACTTGTCAAGCGAATTGAAGAACGCACTTGAGAATTTGTGACTTTGTATGATCAAGAAAAATTGAAAAATTTTGTGGAACTGCGTCTATCATCTGTTATTTGCGTCAATTGCATGCTAGTTGAGATTTGCCTCTGTATGCGTCAATTACATAAAACCTAATTGTCGTCTGTTGTAATGCTTTATGTGAGATTTGCGTAACTGCGTAAATAATAAGGTTGCGTCGAATGAAAGAAATTTGCTACGGTACTATGTATTTACGTAATGATGATTTGGTTAATACCTAATTGCATGCTGCCTCCCACTTATATACTCTATACATAATAATTTTTTTTTTTAATTATGGGGCCCCCAAAAATTGGGGGCCCTGTGCAAAGTCCCTGGGCAGACATGCCCAGGGACGGGCCTGATGATAACTATTAATTAATTATATAAATTTACATACGTTTCCATTATATGTTTAATGTCTTCACGCGGCCCATGACCAAGTGAATCAAACCAAAAATTTCATTTAGTCGAGGACAAATCGCCATCAACATCCAATGCTCACTACAAATAAATAATTTATTAGTTTTAAGTGAATATAATATATAATAAAAATATATTATATATAAGTACTTTTATTTAAAACGTAATTAATACTTACTTGAGAACATATGGGGCTAAGTATACCAATTTCTTCCCCGACTGCATGGTGGCATTTATATATGATTTCCTGTCTTCCATATTATTCATTTGTGGTTGAATCCAATATGGATCTAGGAAGCCATACGTGTCTTTTGATGCCAACTCAAAACTAATGTAAATACCCCTATTCACAAACACAACCAATTATATATAGATTACCAACTATATAAATATAAAACTATTATGAATAAATAATACTAAAGAACTTATTACCTCATAAAGAACTGAATTAGAGAAACATCGATGGTCTCCATATTTAAGAAACACATTATCTCATCACTTAGAAGGTGCAAGTCATAGTCAATGTTGCCCATAATACCACGAGCCACATGGACCACAAGAGGGTGTTCAAAACGGCGAGCTATTGAAAAGGCCTTTTTGCATCCATCAGTCAAAGAATCATCATCAGGTATAGTGAATTATTGATGAACGGATAGCACACCCGAATGAAAAGTCAATTTGGTCTTTTCTTTTGACTGTGAATTATAATACAAGTAAGAATTATTATTTTAAAAAGTAAATTACTTACTATTTTAAAATAGAAATATTTTCAGTATACATACCACATCAACTTTAGTACATAACTCTACCAGCTTCTTTGGCCAAGCAATAAAGTGTTGAATTGCATCACCTACAAGCTGAACCTCACTGGTGGGGATTGGTACATGTGCACTTGGATCACTAACTTCATTTACGCTCACCTTCACATGATTTATATCCAGTACAACCCCATGAACCTGTCCACCACTGTAAGCTGTCCCATATGCTACTGGACGTCTAATTGGATCTTCTAAGAACAGTTGACATCGTGCCCCTAACTACAATAATTTTTAATTAAAAATCATATAAAATTTTATTGATAAATAATAATAAGATAACTTTAAACGAATACTTACAGCCGGTAAATTACTAAAAGGGTCTGGGGAACTAGCTTTGTCACTTGGAGGTAGTGACACAACATCCACACATACGTCATCCACCTGCTTTGCTTGTAAAGGAGTCTGCATAGCACTAAATTTCAACATCATACTAGCTATTTTTGCCTCAAATTGCTCAGTTAATCGTTGACCAAATTCATCCCGTTCATAAATATTTTGCTACTTTTGTTTCTCTAACGCTACTGCAACAGCATCATCAACCATTTGTTGAACATCTTCAGGAGGCTTTTCGCGACGTTTTGCATGACCAAATACACTTTTGAAGCCATGTCCTCTTCCCATGGCTCTAACACGTCCAGAATGCTCATCAGTACCCAATGCAACAGTCAATGAATCTTGTCTTCCTTTCTCAACAAATTCTCCTTGAGAAATTTGGATCTCAAGAGCATCCTAACATATATAAAAATTATTCAATAATAATTACTATTACTTTAGTAAATGACAACATATTTACTTACAATTTTTTCCGCCACCAATCTTGTTGATTCAGTGCGATAATTTCCTGACTTGTCAATTCTTGCTTTCTTCCACTTTTCGGCTCTACGTGGAGGACTTGGAGGACTCATTGTATACGTCGGATCTGCATCAGCCAAGGCTTGTTTTTCTTTCAACTTCTCATCCATCATCATCTTCTCCAACCTTTTATAACCTCCTCGAGCTAAAAGATGTGGATGAATATTC